ACTTCTGATTGACCTCTGAATTTTTTTGAACAGTGATAAATTGATTTCACAAAGTGGTTATGGGTTATTCATGTGTGGTTATGCAGCGGCTCGCGCGATATGTGAACGAGGCCGAGGTCCATCAGCTATCTTCGGACTTTTTTTCAAAATCCCGATTTTGTTCACTTTTCTCTGTACAGATTGTTGTTCGACGGATTGAATATATAGCATGGAGCTCACCATGTAGAAGTAGGATTCACAGATCGCGAGCGCCAATCATTGCGTTGAGCAAACTTTAGGTTTGGGACGACCTTTCTCCTTCTCCCTTTGGCCTTTGTTCCGATTCTGATTCTAACTGTCGTTCGGTGTGAATTTGGCGATTTGGTCTTAAAACTTTGTCGCGGCTCAGCGACTGGATTTCCCGTCTCGCTAGCCTGAAATACAGCTTAAGTCACGCCGTGTGTAAAAGCGAAGGTGCAAACAGTAGTGTTGTAGAGCAGCCGAATGCTTTTCTAGGTATACGAATAGATGTGAAAACTTGGAAAATGAGTTTGTGGTCTACATACTTCTCACTATTTTGAATTCCTGATCGATTCGAGAACAATGACATTTTTATGGTACAGCCTTTTAATGGGTGTTAACATGTCCTTTCCACTAGTACTACTTTAACTTTGTACAGCATTGTGGCAATTGCATGAGTATAACCTCTCCATTTGCTTCTTTGGAAACGTTCACAACATTTTCTTGGAACAACTACTGGTAGGATAAGGAATAAAATATTCAGCGTCGACCAATCACGCTTTGAGATGCGCCACGCATTCTACATCTATTCGGAATTGTAGTGGCAGTTTGAATGCGATGTGGCCTATACAATGACTTGCGGGGGCCAGCCGATGTCAAGTCAGTGTTTTTATCCTCCCAGACAAGTCTGGTACCAATTAACCGACCCCGGAGGGATGGAAGGTTGGTTGGCTGGGATGACGTAGGAGCCATAAATCCCCGAACTGCACGCGTGCTAAATAGCGTTACGTAAATTGCATCGCAGTTGTCTAATTTCTTAGCAAATCTAAATCGCAGTTGTCTAATTTCTT